GGTTGCTACTGTTAGGGGAATCCATATTGGTAGCGGAGCGTAGGTGGGTGCTTAGGATTAGGTGCGTTGCCTGCCTTTGCGCCCCACATGGAGACCGGCGCGTCTGCGGCCAGCGTGCCTGTGCCAGGTGATCCTTTGGAAGAGTCGGATCCTTGGGCTGAGGCTCTTGAGGAGCAGCGAGCTCAGCAGGCGGCCACTTCGCCGGCGACTTCGGCAACCGCAGCCGATGGCGAAGGGGCGGCCACTTTGACGGCGACCTTGGCAACCGCAGCTGAGGGCGCGAGGGCGGCCAGTTTGCCAGCGACTTCGGTGACTGTGACCGAGAATGTGGCAGCGACTGGTCCTCCACTTCCTACGTGGACTATGGCGGCGGATAGAATGGGCCCGGCCCCGGGTCTTGGACCGATGTTTGGCACCATGCCGCCCGGATGGCCAGCAATGGGCCCAGACATGGGGCCTGGAACGGCGACGCCTTGTGCAGCTCAGGGACTACCTGTACCACCTCCTCCTCCCGGCGGGTGGCCTGCTGCAAATCCATGGCCTTTTCAAGTACTCCCCCACGGTGTGCCTGGACAACTCCCTGGGCAACTTCCGTGGTGGCCTCACGGAGGGTGGCCTTGGCCTTGGTATGGCATGACTCCGCCGGCGACTGCACAGCCGGCACCAGTGAATGTGAACGGTGCGCCGAGAGCAGAAAGGGAGAGCGTGCCGGTGACTTCGTCGGGAGATCGGTCGTGGGAGAAGCCATTCTCGCCTGCCCCTTCTTTGGTGGCCAGCGTGGGAGGAGCAAGCTCTACGAGACGGCCGCCGGTGCAGGCACCACTTGGCCAAGGAGATCCTGATAGCGGTGCTCCTGGACTTGATGGTCACAGTCTCTCTCCGGCCCGGCGAGAAAAGGGAAAGGGCTGGAATGGTCAGGCTGTGCCGTATGAGGAGATGCCTTCCGATGTGTCCTCCTCGTGCCCTACTTCGGAGCTTCGCAGCAGGCTGCGCAGGAAGATGAAAGATGATGGTCGCCCAAAGTCTTCTATCTCTTCGGTGCGGCTTGAGGAGTTTTGGGGCGACAAGAGAAAGTACTTGAAGTGGCGTCGAACTGTGGAAGCCCAAGAACGCCTCTACAAGCTGGAGGAGAGCGAGGTGGCTATGCTGGTGTATCTCTCCACCAGGGGAGATGCAAGAGATGTCCTTGACCAGAGGACCCTGGAGGAGTTTACCTCTGATGGCGGTGTCCATGTCATGTGGACACTTCTGCAGGAGGCCTTCGGCGAGAACGGCGCAGAGATGTTCGAGAGGGCCGAGAAGGAGTTCAATGGATGCCGGCGCACCCCGGGCCAATCGATCGCCTCCTACATCGCCAATATGAAGCGGCTTTTGGCTCAGTACATGAGATCGGATCCCGAGTCACATCTGAGCAACAAGGCCTGGGCACAACGCCTTCTGAATAGAGCCGGCCTGTCGAGACGAGAGCGACTGGATGTCTTTTACTCGGCTGGGGGGCGCTATGATGCGGGCTCTATAGAAGCTGCTTTGAGACATCGTTGTAGTATGGTGCATGAAGAGGAGCGACGAGTTCCCGGTCTGAGGTCAGATGGTGCTTCGACGGTGGCTAGCTTCCGGAGCAAGCTCTCGTCCAGTGGAGCCAGCTCTCTTACCAGGTCCAGCAAGGGCACGGGCAAGAAAAGGAGCCATGTTCATGTGGCCGAGCCCCTTGCTGAAGCAAGCCAAGGAGAAGACGAAGAGGACCTGGAAGAGGAGGACGTTGACTTGGAGCACTACCCTGGCGACGGCGAGGACGAGATGGGCGACTGCACCGAGGAAGCCCACGACGAGGACGACCCTCATAGCGAAGATGGCCTATGCGGGGAAGATGATATCAAGGAGGCTTTCGCTGCAGGATGGCGGGCCAAGCAGAAGACAAACAACCAGAAGAAAGGTCGAGGATGGTCGGCCCCGACAACAAGGACACCGTCGAGTTCACCTTCGAAGGGCTTGGCCGAGAAGAAAAGGAACTCACAATGTGCATCCTGCGGAAAGAAAGGACACTGGCGAGGAGATCCGGAATGCGAAAATGTCCGAAATGGCAAGGACCAGTTGCACACCAAGAAGAGCGCCGCCGGGCCCCACGACATCCACTTTGTGAACTTCACCTGGATGGAAGGAGCTTACCCTGCGGCTCCCCAGTGCCCAAAGTGCTTTCGGATACTCCAAGGGCACCCCAAGTTCTGTGGAGAGTGTGGGCACCAGTTGGTGTGCAAGCGCGGCGGCCAGTGGATCCTGGTCGATGAGGAGAATGAGGTGGCATCGCAAGTTCCCCCTGCTCCTCCTCGACCGATGCGAGATGAAAGGCGCTACGAGGTGTCCAAGGGCGCCCTGGGTGCCAAGAAGGACCTCGACAAGAAGGTCCTTGTCAGTGCAAGCGAGGCACTGGCCGCAGTGGGGAAGATGAGCAAGGAGGAGAAAAGGTCCTTGAAGTATGCCCTGGCCCATGACGAGCTGGACCTGCCACCTCCAATGCCAGAGCCTGACGTTCCCGCCACGTGGGGCCGATCGGCTGGAAGTCACGAGAACATACGTGGACCAGATCATCGGCAACAACCGGTGGTTCCAAAGCCCTTGCGTGCGCCGAGTCACAAAGACGAAGAAGGACGTGATAAGCCCACTGCTGTCAGACGGCGCGAGATGCAGGAGTTCAAGATGGAGCTCTATAGGAGGGCTTGCGAAGGCGGCCGGTGTGTTCCTTCCTCGGCTGCTCCAATCCCTACCACCAAACAAACTCATTGCCGTCACCCTTATGAAGATCTTCTCTGGATCAGCAATCAACATGGCCATTACGCGAGATGCAAGACTTGTGACTTGAAAAATGTTATCTACTGGAGTCAGCGGCATGGTGTTTTGGTGGCCGGCCCGGAGCCAAAGGGGATTCTGGTGGCAAGCTTGCCGGCAGGACAGGCGGTGGCTGACTCGGGATGTCGCACAGCAGTGGCGGGCACAGACTGGCACTTTAGTTTCCAGGCCGAGCTTCGCCGACGGGGTGTTCGCTTCTACGAGGTGAGGGAGAATGAGGTGTTCCAGTTTGGTGCAGGAGCCCCGGAACACTCAGAGCGAGCATTTATATACCCGGTTGGTGTGCATGGTAGCTGGGAGTTGGTGCGCATGTCAATGGTTGGAGGAGGGGCTTCCTCTTGCCCTGGGCTTATAGGACCGTCGGAGCTTTCACGGTGGGGCGCAGTGTTCGACTTTGCAGGGAAGACTTTGACCTTGAAAGGCAGCAGTCGGCCCATGTTGATGACCACGACACGGCACCCAGCCATCGACCTCCTCGAGTTTCCCGACGGCAACCCATGGGAAGATCCTTCGGTGATCCAGACCAAGCGTGTTCTGGAAGATGCTCCTCATTCGTTCGCCTTTGTATCAGCAATTGACTTGGACGAGAGTCCCGTGACGCAGGCCGGTGCCCTCTCCAGTTCCGAGTCTGAGGAGGTTCTCTCGGAGGCCGAACCCCCACACCACAACAAGCACGACACCAACCCAGAGGAGGAGCAAGGGATTCGTGACCGCCGATGGCTGGAACTCTTGGAGAACGACCTGGGCATCAGAACCATTGCCGCGCTCCCCGATGCTGAACACCATGATCCGGACGATCGGGATGAGGACGATGTGTCGTCAGAGGAACTCCTCTCGGACAGCGGCGACGACAGCATCACCAGCCACGAGTTCGGTGTCATCCACAGCGACAGCGAGCCAGGGGAGGACAGCGCTGAGGAGCTGATGGCCGAACGTGATCTCGAGCCACGCAAGCCTGTGTTCTTTCACAAGAACATGCGCAAACGGATGTCGCACACCCAGCGGGCTGTCAAGGACATGGCCCAGAACACAAAGCCGAGCTCTTTCAACGCCTCGCCTGGCCCTGCCTTGACGCCCAATCGCAGCCCGCGACGTCCTGGCCCATGGCGTGTGGTCGAAATCTTCACGTGGACTATGATGATTAGCATGGTTGCGGCCCAGCGCGGTTGGATGGTGGGACAGCCCATCACTCTCCCTCACTTTGACCTTCGCGACAAGGGCGACCAGGCGGCGGCTTTGCAGTATCTGGACAATTTCCAGCCCGACTTCCTCGTGGTGGCCTTCCCCTGCACAGCCTGGTCGACACTACAGAACTGGAATGTTCACACAGCAGAGCAAAGAGAGCGCCTAGCCAGGTGCCGCGCCGAACAACGAGCCATGCTGGAATGGGTCAAAATTGCCGTTTGGCGGCATCGCGCCCGAGGTGGCGCCGTGCTGGCCGAGAATCCCCGTACCAGCCTTGCGTGGCGAGAAGAGGTGGTGCAGCAGACTTACGCAGGCCTACCAGCGGATGTCGTCGACATGTGCGCTTGGGGACTACAGCGACCGGACGCAGAGGTCGCCACCACTCCTTTGTATTTGCGCAAATCTACTTTGCTGCGCGCCCAGCCCGAAATTCTACGTGCTGCTTGCCGACGCTGCCCTGGCACCCATCGACACGCACCTTCTTTTGGGGGGGTGAGAGCCCCTAATGGTCGATGGGTCAGTGTGGCTGGTTTCGCCGGTGGCTACACCCGAGCTTTTTCTGAGGCTGTGGTCAAGGGAGCGGAAGCATACCTAGAGGGCAAGAAGCGGACATACTTTGCGATGCGGCAGGTGCCTTTGCTGGCGGAAGAAATTTTCGTGGAGGATGATGCCGAGTTCCTGGACGAAGCCCCACAACTACCCGAAGCGCCGGAGCAGATCACAGAGAACCCACTGGAGAATCAGGACGTGGAGTGCGACGAGGGGGTCCTTGATGGTGATAGACATCAGATCGCAGAGAACCCGCTGGAGAATCAGAACGCGGAGTGCGACGAGGGGGTCCTTGGTGGTGATAGATATCAGATCGCAGAGAACCCGCTGGAGAATCAGAACGCGGAGTGCGACGAGGGGGTCCTTGATGAAGAAACTAGTGTAGCACCAGGTTCTCTTCTAGAGCGACTTCACCTTGTACATCGTCGTCTGGGTCACCCGAACAATGAGACCTTGCGTCGCATGTTGGAGATGGCCGGGGCAAACAAAGAGCTGCTCGAGATGGCTGACAGACTGGAGTGTCCTACGTGTCGTTTGAGAGCACCTCCCAAGAGACCAATGCCGACGAGACCAGAAGCTAGGCCAGTGTGTTTCAACTCAGTGGTACACATGGACCTCAAGTATGTGAAGGACAGCAAGAAGGAAACCTTTGTTGCTTTGTCTGTGGTGGACGGAGCAACCTGTTTTCATGTGGCACGCTTGCTCAGGAACAGGAACTCTGACCATGTGGGCCGAAAATTCCTCAATTGCTGGATCTCGGTGTTCGGCATACCTACCATGGTGGTGCATGATCAGGGTGGCGAGTTTGAGGCTGGATTCGTGGCAGTCCTGGAAAGTCATGGCATAGCCTCGAAGGTGACGGGCGCACGTGCTCCCTGGCAAGCTGGACTGGCAGAGCGTCACGGCGGCCTCCTTGGTGTGGCTTGGACCGCGATCATTGAGGACATGCAGGTGGTGGGTCGAAAGGCTATGAAGACTTCGTTGTCTTGTAGTTTGCAGGCAAAGAATGCTACCGTTTCTCGAAAGGGCCACTCGGCTTACCACCTGGTTTTTGGTCGTCAAGCTTTCTTTCCGGAGCTGTTGGACGAGGAGACCTGGCATTCTGCCAGCATGGGTTTCGCCTTGAGTGTGGAAGGAGAAGTCAGCCGGCAAGCGGAAATGCGGGCTGCTGCCCGGGTGGCCTTGATGCGGGGCGACATTCACGAGAGGCTCAAGAAAGCTTTGCGGAGAGCTCCCGGTGCCACTGATCGTTCGTTTGCCCCTGGGGAACTGATATACTTCTATTCCCCGCAAGACAGGACAAGGTACTCCAAGACCGGTGGCGCCTGGCGAGGTCCTGCAGTGGTTCTCCTGCCCGATGGCACAAATCGCTATTTCATTTCTTGGCGAGGCCGTTGTCTTCTCGTGGCGGCGGCAAACATGAAAGGTGCCTCGGTGGATGAGACTCAGGATCAGGAGCTTCGCCTTCGAGAGAGCGAGCTCGACCTGGCAAAGGGCTTCGAAGACATGACTGAGGACCCTGCTCCTCCTGAAGAGGAGATGGCCCCTCTAACTGTGGAGGGTCCTGGTCTCCGCTCACGTCGGCCCCCTGGTCAGTTCTCGAGAAAAACCACCGAGACACAGAAGATGATGAGGGGCCTGAAGAGCATCAAGAAAGTGCTGAGGGGCCCGATGGATCTCAAGTTTCGGCGACGCCCCCTTCGAGCGCGACTTCGGCAACTTGGAACCAGACCGCAAGGATCTCAACAAGCTCAAGATGATGCAGTGGTGGAACAGGAGCCCATTGTGATTCCGGAGGGTCCCGTGGAAATCCCTGAAGACAACGCGCCTGACTGGAATCAGGCTCCTCCTATTCAAGGTGCTCCTGTACCCCCACCGGTGTCTGTGGAATCCTTGGCTCGGCGCAACAATTTCCTCGACGACGTCCCTTACCAGATCCGAGAACAACAGCGAAAGCGCCGCCGGGAACAAGAGCAAGAACCAGAGCAGGACCAAGAGGATCAAGCTGCTAAGAGAATGCGTTCTGGAGGTCTTGTGAACTATGTGTTGGCAGCTGCGTCTGAAGGTGAGCTCCTGGGAGATGAAGTCCTCCCCAATGAGTGGCTTCCCAGAAGAGAGGTGCAGCAGCTTGGAGAGTTGCTCGATCTTCCTTTGACGTCGGCTAGGCTGCACCGAGCCCCACGAAAACGGCTTCAGTATCCCGGCCGATTCCGCAACAGGCCCAGATACACGATGATGATGACAGAGTCGGGACACACTGTAGTGGCACAAGAAGCTGCTCACGCCGTGGCAAGACGACCCCGCAGGAAAACCTCTGCTCTGTGGCGGGGCTTGACCCTCTTTCCCGAGGTGAAGAAGGAGAAGGTTTTCGTTTCGGACGGTGCCAAGGTCTTTGTCACCAAGCCCGCGACTGCCTACCTCAAGGTGCGCTCCTATGTGTATGCGGTGAACGTTTGTTCCAAGGAAGTCCTGGAAGCGGCGGGAGCTGACCTGGACGCCGCCACCATGAACGCTGAAGCCTTCCTGTTGAAGATGAAAGCCAATGGAAAGGAATTGGATCCGAAACACTTCGATGAGGCCGAAGGAAAGGCTTTCCGCGAGAGTGACTTGAAGGAGTTGGCCGCCTGGATGGAAAATGATGTGGTGCGTCGTCTTCATCCACAAGAGGCTGCCAAGGTCCCTCGTGCCCGTGTGTTCCGCGTCCCTGCCCGAGTTGTACGTGTGAACAAGTCTAAGCCGGGGGATCCGAACTTGAATGCAAAGAGTCGCATCGTCATCCCGGGGCATGTGGATCCCGACTTGGGCGCCCTGAGAACGGACTCCCCCACCACTACATCCACGGCGGTGAGGCTGGCATTGACTCTATGTGCCAGCCGGCGGTGGCAAGCTTGGCTGTTCGACGTGTCCACGGCCTTTCTCTCAGGAAAGCAAGTGGGGAGAGATCTCTACGTGCGACCACCCGGCGATCTCCCTGGACTTCGGCCGGGTGAGCTATGGCAACTTTTGCGATCGGCTTATGGTTTGGCCGAAGCTCCGAGGCTGTGGTACCAGAGAGCTAAGGAACTCTTGAAAGAGATCGGCTTTGAGGAGATTCCGTTTGCACCGTCCACTTTCGTGTACCGCAAGAAGCAGGGTGAAAACGACTGGGTTGTCCTGTCAGTGCTTTGTCTCCACGTGGATGATGGCCTCCTAGTGGGATGCCCCAAACATGCAGGAAGCCTGAAGGCCGCGATTGACAAGAGATTTAACATCAAGATGTGGGAGTTGGTTGGCAAGGTTCCTCGATCCTACCTGGGGCTCCAGCTGGTGTACGTCGACTACGTGTTCACGAACGACATGACTGACTATGTCCTTGCGATCCACCCAGCCGTGAATGCGGCGAATCTGGAGGCCCTCCTGGATGCGAAACAGCTTAAAGAGTTCCGAAGGTTGGTGGCTCAGCTGAGATGGCCTGCTCATCTCGTTCTGCCTGAGTTCCTCTACGATGTGAGCTCTTTGGCCCAGCGGGTTGGAAAAGCTTGTGGACGTGACTTAGAAGAGGCCAATGGGGTCTTGCGAGAAATGAAGGCCGCGGCCTCACAAGGGCAAGCTAAGCTGCATGTCGCTGGTGTAGGCGACCACCCCGTGCTCGTGACCTACTTCGATGCCTCCCTGGGCAAGTCCGATGGTGTGGCTCAGCGAGGGGAGGCTCACTTCGTAGGTCATCCGGACATGTTTGCTGGACCTGCGACTGCCAACTTGATTGAGTTCCACTCGAACAAGATCTCGAGGGTGGTTCGCTCAAGTATGGCGGCTGAGTGCGCGAGCATGGCTTCTGCGAGCGACAGACTGTTGTACAACATGAAGTTGACGGATGCCATGTTCTATGGACGCCTTGAAGTTGAAGGAGAGTGGCGAAGCTATCTCCGCACGAGAGGGGCCCTTGTGACAGACGCCCGCTCCTTGTACGACCATGTGCACGGCTCGAGCTTGATGGCTACTGAGAGACAGCTGACATTGGATATCATGGGAATCCGTCAGCAAGTCCAAGAGAAGCTGGTAGAGCTCTACTGGTGCCCTACTTGGAAGCAGATGGCCGACGGCTTGACCAAGTCAATGAAGGACGAGCTCTTCCGCCTCTTTCGTAATCGCCGAGCTCTGAGTGTTGTACAGACCAAAGAGGATGAGAAGGAAGAGGCCCGTCGATCTGCTATTCGACGAGCACAGAGAGACAGGCGAAAGTCCCGTCAAGCTCTCCCTAAAAGGGGCTAGCTCTGTGGTCATGTTTTCCGGAGGCTGTGCAACTTTCTTTCTTGTCAATGTGATGCATGCAGCCTCCCATGTCC